AATCCCAAGGGAGTTTTTTTGCTTAAACAAAGACATATTTGAACGCCGTAACTGTTATACCATAGACCCTCTAGAGGGTCTATGGTTATACATACGTTTTTGTTTATTTTTTTGTCTGTTCATGGACGTACGTGTTAGTACACCCTGATTACGTTCATAGTAAATAAAAATATATAAATAACTAATCACATGACGTAAACAAACGCAATATAGAACTGTGACCCTCTGACAATAACTGACGCGTTTGTAACAGTATCAGATATGAAGCCTGAATAATGATCACGTAGCTTCATTCAGCCTGAGATCACCCCCACCATTCCTAGGAAATATATAATAAGGCAACGCAGTCAGCTGTCGTGAAATCTCAATCAACTAGTTCAACGACCGTCAACTCAAGAAAGGTCGCCGAGAGGTAAACATGTGCGCATGCGCAGTAATATAAATTAGCTATTTAGTCTGTTTTTACAGGTAACTGGCTGTTATAAATGGCGTGTTGTCCGGGTGTATATATACACATGTATACATGACTATTCATAGCAATTGTATCGTTTTATTTCAAATAGTTGATTATATTAGGCGCTGATATCTCAACACGCGATACAACCAACAGGTAATGTACATATCTCTTTGTTGTGATGCTGAATATAACGTTTTTATAATAAGACATTTGGGTATCACGATTGAGGTCAGCAGAAATATTGAATAGCCTGTCATGAAAAGCCGTTTATGATGGGATTATATGTTCGTATACATCATTGGTTTGATTTACTGAGATTGTACTGTACGTGAGAGCAGCGGTTGAAGCAACGAGAGATACCGAACGTTGTGGTTTACAATACGAATGACCTCGAGACACAGCGCTCGGTATGGATTGTGGGACTTATCACTTAGACCTTCGACACATTGGTTTATTCCGTTGTAGTACTTTCATGATTTAAAACTCAGCACAGTGTCGGTGTTATCGTACATTGTTGCGCAGAACGCGGGTTTCATATCGAAATAGTGTGGTAACTGTATAGTTCCGTCATGACGACCGCCATTTTGAATGTCTGTGTCATCGCGGTCAAAGAACGATTTGATGACCCTCTGCTGATACATATGTAAAACTCCTAAAGTGTCTGATCGGATTATCTTATATATCCGCAATATTATGAATGTCTTAGTGATTCAGTGTATATCATATTTAATAATTTGATTTTGTTTAAATAAATAAATAAACTAAAATGACATGAGTGACGAATACAGTCTATAGCGTGGTCTTTATTTGTACTAAGCTTTATCCATCTCATTGGTAACAGTTATTAAATATTCTATTTTTTGCTATGCTGTCGACACAACAAACCCTTTCTGGAATTTGTATAACTATTTATAATGTAATAGCAATTGACTCCAGCCAACCAATCAAAATGTACAGTGCACACGCAATGAAATAATTTTAAAATGTTTCAATGTTATTCAAGTTCCTACAGCCAAATTAAAGCTCTCGATTGAGTTTGAATCAGAGGAGTTCGTTGTTTTGCACTATTCTAACAGTTGCAGATACAGTCAGATTTCCTCATGTTGTGTTGTGATGTATTACAAAATTGTCAATTACACTTT